TTGTTGTTGTTGTTTTGGGGTGGGGTTTTTGTTTGTTTTGGTTTTTTACAGTTCTACATTTTCGGCAATTCTATTTGTAGGCAAGGCCTCAAATACAGATACAGACACCAGAAAGCAACTAGATACTTACCAACTTGGGGAGCATTCTACAAAACCACCACTAGATTGCACTCTTTAAATATCAATGTCAAACAAAAAAGAGAATAGATAAATACAGTAAAGTCATAAAAGAAGAGCAAAAGGTATAAAGACTTGAATATTAAACAAGAATAAAGACAGTTTTGTTTACTTAAATTGAGATATAATTTATACTGAAGGTTGTAGTCTTTGATCTTGTTTACTAAGGTTTTCAAGTCTTAATTTTCTGCAAGCATCTTTGTGTCATCTGCATAATACAGGTTGTTGAAAAATTTTTCTTCAATTCTGATGCTACTTCTTCATAAACTATAGCATCTCAAATTATATGCTTAATATACTGATTAAATAAGTATTGTGAAAGGATACAACAAAGAAGTATATGTTTACTTATTCTAAACCAGCCCCTTGTTCAGTTTTACTATTCTAGTCAATTCACAAGTTTCCAATTAGCACATCAAGTGTTCTGCAATTCTCATTCTTCTGAATGATAGTCACAATTTTATTAGGATTCACACTGAGTCACATACATTTGTATGTTGTTGTTGTTGTTATTGTGTTGTTAGGTGCAACTGATAGTGACCCTAGAAAAAACAGATTTGAATTTTGCCTTCTTCTGTGCCATCCTCACAATTCGATATACTTGAGCCCACTGTTATGTTCACTCTTATTAAGTGTGTTTCTCTAACTTTCCACCTTTCCCAGCATGATGCCTTTTTCCAAAGAGTGGTCCCTCCAGAAAACATGTCCAAGTGTGTGAGATGAAGTTGCACAGAAAAAAAAGATACTAAGACATGTCACTAAATGGACATGTGATCCTTAATTAAATACTGTCAGACCCTACATCCCTAACCCCAAAAGCTATAAAAAAAGTTACAGCACAGAGAAATGTAAATATGGATTGTATAATATCTAATAGTGAAAAAAAATCCAATAGTACTATATCAATGTTACATTTTTTTAATATGGCAGAAGAATTATGTTTATATAGGAGAATATCTTTGTTCTTATGAGATCCGTGGTGAAAGATTTGGGATAGAGTGTCATGACATCTGTGGCTGACTCCCAAATGGCTCCGATGGGGCACAGAATGATCACACACAGAGGGAGAGAAAAAGCAAAAACAGCAAATGGTAACAAACTATTGGATTTAGACGAAGAGTATACTGTTATATACTAATTAATACAGAAATTATATATTAATTTATTATTAACGTGTTATTTTTTTTTCATAATAAAGCTGGAAGAAAAACATCATTCAAAAAAATTAAGAACTGAAATATGATGAACTATTATTCTTCCCTGCAGTGGTAGTATTCCATCCAAAGTGGTTTTCAGTGGGGTCCCTTTGGTGCTATTTCTCACGAGGTTTGGAAGAGACTGCTACTAGGCGCTGAGTGGTCTCTACTGGTCAGGAGTTTTAAAGGCTATGTGGCTTATAATGGCTTAAGCCCTTCAGAAGTAGTATTTCAAGAAAGTAGTCAAATATGAGGGATGAGTGTTATCATGTTGCTGTATATTCTCAACCTGGCCATCAGCTTAGGTAAACCACACAGCCCAGAAAACCCTGTCGGGTGGCTCGAGGCTGCAACATGGGATTGCTATGAGTCAGAATAGACACCACAGCACTTAACAAATAACAGTGATGGCACAGTTTCAAATTACTACGTCTAATGCCTTTGTGTGGATCATAACAAACTGTGGCTGACTCTGAGAAGAATGGGAATCCCAGAACATTTGATCGTGCTAATGCGAAACCTATACTTGGACCAGGAGGCAGTCTTCAGAACAGAGCAAGGAAACACTGCATGGTTCAAAATTGGGAAGGGCGTACACCA